ATTCGAAGACCACTTGCCTGAAGTACGAATGCATGGGGTCTATCTTACTCCCCGTCTGAAGCGAGAAAAGATTGATACCTACCGAAGCCCATTTCTTTAAAGGGGGCGAAAGAAAGAAGGACCTGGTTACGGAGCTTGTGGAGGTGACCCCATGGCAGCCCTTCAACCGCGCAGCCCCAAAGAGCACTGGCCTGTGGACCAGCGCGACGTATCTGGCCAATAGAGACCCCAGCTCCACGAAGCCTACAAAGCCGAGACGCCCTTATCAGGCTCACAGGGGCCCTCTCAATGGTCACAGGGGCAAGCCTCTTGGAGCCAGTCCCAAGACTCCTAATCGTTCACGGCGTTGGGAGGACTTCTTTCAGTTACCCAGGAGCCCCGTGGCCACATTCTTGCAAGATTCTTGCTGGTCGCAAGGAACTTCGATGTTTCTCCGACGACACCAATCGCAACGATCGCAGCCCATCCATGAGCTTGCTCCCAGCAGCACCCATCTCACAGATGACGTCGCAGCTGGCCTCAATGGACTGCAGGTGGACATCGTCGACAACGTTCCTGACATCACCGATGGGCGTTGCGCAGTAATGCCAACCAAGAGCCGATGCATCAAGACTCGTGCCAGCGTGGCGGCTAAGGGGCACCCTGCCAACATTGCGCCAGAAGCAGGTTCAACTGGCGAACAACAGCCCTTGTAGCTGATGACCCTCGGACCTGAATACAACGCGCATGCGGCCCGAAGAAGCCAAGAAGTGAAGTATGTGGCGGCACCTTCCTTGAACAAGACGTAGTAGCAAACTCTTTCGCATAATTTCTCCAGATGAGTTGACAAAGAGGCCGCCCCCATATTGCGTGCGCGAGCGCAGTGCGCAAGAATTTGATGGGCCCATCAAGCTCTGCCAGACTCGTTGTCGCGTTGGCCCCAGAGACAGGATGATGAGGATCTCTGCAGACGAATAGTATGTGCGGGGGGATGAGAGTCGACGCGGTGCGAGGGGAGTGTGAGAATACGTATAAGGGGAGAGGGAGCAACCCCCACGATGCGAATGGAAGGGGGGGGGGAAGGACGGGTGAGAAGGAGAAGGCCCCTCTCTCTGTCTCTCTCTCTCTCTCTCTTTCTCTCGCCCTCTCTCTCTCTCTATCTTTGTCTCGCCCTCTCTCCCCCGCTCACCCCCTTCCGCAAAGGTGTTGATGGACACCAGGGGCCCTGAGATCAGGACGGGGTACTTCAAGGCTTCGCGGCCACGTGGGGGAACGGTGGGGAGAACGGCTCATCTTCGTCCTCTATTTCTTCGCCCGCTTTTACCACATCTGCAATCTCGTTCCTAGCCATTTTCTCAGACACTTGGTTCTGGTTGGCTTCGTCATTGCACCTGCTTTGAACTGCCCCCTCCAATGGTGGTTGCCTCTCGTCTTCGTTGGCGGCGGCGCAGTGCGGCGAGCAGGACTCTTCTTGTGGTGGTCAAACCGGCACTCGAGGGAGGCAAAACCAAGTTCACGTTCGTAGCCTCCCTAATGGATCGAGGCGTTCCAGCCGTTGCACATGTTATGCTGGTCACGGGCCTTCTAGGTTTGTTTGCTTCTTTTGATCATTCAAAATAGGTCGGCCGCGGACGCCGCCATTGGGATGGATTGTCCATCGTGCAACTGTGGTTGTATTATGTGCCCGCGTTTGGTGTGCCTCGCGGTGTTCCGCATCGTGGTGATGATGATGATGATGATGATGATGATGATGATTATGATGATGATCATGATGATGATGATCTTTCCGACGGCGATTTTGATGATGGACACGGAGCTCTCGTCCGGCACTTTCGTCGTACACAGTCATTTGGTCCATCAGGTGGTGGCATATGAATTGGAAAAGCTGGAAACTCCCATAACCCGATAATGGATAGATTCAAAAAGCGCTGGCGCGCTTTTGCGACGGTTTGCACATGGTCCCTCTCTTTCTTATCGATACGCTTGCTGTGGAGTTTCGCCCTGTTTGGGATCAGGAGGTAATCGTGAACGCTCTGCTTCATGAGCTGAATGGTTCTTAACCTCAGCGACTTTATCGCGCAGATTGTGTCGGTGAGCAGCGTTTTCCTGGTGATGGAAGCTGTGCGGAGGCACAGCCTCTCACTGATAATTGTGTTGGTTAGCGTTTGTTGTTTCAGGTGTGGCATATTCGTGTGGCCGAACAGCAACTTCATCGCGGCCGTGCTTGGAAGGAGGATGAGCGACCTTGTCGTGATAGCAGTTCTTTGGTGTAGCTCCGACTAGGTGAGCGCGAAAACACAACGCCTTCCAGTAGTACGGCTCAGGGCGAAATAGTTGACCAGATGATGCATGAGCGCGACGCTGGCGTTGAGGCCGCTGAGGCGCTGGGAATTTGCCTTCTCGATAGTGCCGATGGTCGCGGCGATAGCGATCGTATTGCGACAGTGACAGTTCATCGTGAGATCCATTGGCCCGAAAACGCCCACCAGCATGTGTGTACAGATAAAAATTTGTCGTTGGTGGGATTGTGCCAAGAAAGCGAATGGTCGTTCAATTTCTTTGTGGACGGTTATGCCTCTGCCAAGGAGGATGTGCACATTGACCGCGCCGGAAAGATAGTTGATGTGTTCGATGGTGGTCTCTTGAAGCTAGAGATGTGCCCGTGTGGCGTTGTGTGAGGTTGCGGGCCCTCATTTGCCGCACTCTCTGCTTAGGCGTCGGGTGTAGAAGAGCATACGGACATCGAGTTGTTCTCATCACCAAATGTGTCTTGGGTGGTATGTGGCGCGCTGCGGCTTCGACGGCCCAGGCTGTCTCTGGGGTAGCATGTGGGGTGCGACGACTTCGGCGTCGCAGATTTGTTCGTGCGAGTATTTCGCGTGCGCTTTGGTGGCGATCGCAATTTCATCCACGGGGCCGTCGTGCCGTTTGCGGCCGGCCGGGTGTAGGCCTGCTAGTCGGGCTCATGCTTGGCGTTGGTTGTTTCTCCGGGGCGGGCCTGGCCCTACCTAGATGAGCTCCCCGTCGCTCGTCGGGCGTTCGCCTCCTGCTCTTCCCCTAGAGCACATCCTCGATCCCCTGTCCTGCTCTTCCCCTAGAGCACATCCTCTTCCTGCTCCTGGAATGGAACGCGTGCGGGGTGGGGAGAGAGAAGGAGGAAGACCAGGCCCCTTCCTGTGAGGGAATACAGGCTCCTCGAGGGTCGTCTGGCGAGCCGTTGTTGCTAATCTCAGAGTCCGACAGGCCCGCATGATGTCGACTTGTCGTTGTTTTTACATGCGCACCAGTGAGATTGCCAAGGCCCCACTGTATGACAATGCAGAGAATACGTTTGCAAGCGGACCTGCCATCCACCCGCGTCGCCGCTGAAGGCACCCAGCTTTATGGCCAGGCGACGCGTGGCAGTCTCGAGAGAGGAGAAGCATCGCGCCCATCCGCACAGCGAGTGGAAGCACCAGGCTGCGTGGCCACACCTGGGGGGCCAGCCGCGCATCCCACGGGGGGGGCCTGGGTCGCAGACCCGGGGCCCTCTTGGAGGTTTCGTTGGCTCTCGTGCGCGGGGGTGGAGGGGTGAGGCTCCTCCTCCTCCTCCTCCTCCTCCTCCTCCTCCTCCTCCTCCGCCTCCTCCCCCTCTTTTTTCTCCTGCTCCTACGTTGTACGTGAGACCGGCACTGGTTGGATGGCCGTTGCATCAGGACGTTGGTATGTAAGAGACCGTGGTAACACCAAACACCCTGTCGGATCACCCTAGTAGGCTAAGCGGGGAGATGCGGTGCGAAGATGGTGCGGGACAACAGGGAAGCTTTCGCCGGCAGAAGGTGCTAGACCTGCGGGCGACAGCAAGTCCCTGGAGGCTCCACCCCCACACCACCACCAACCCCCCCAAACCCTTCCCCTATCGTGGCAGCACTGACGCCTCATCCTCCTGCTCCCCCTCCTCTTCCTCCCCCTCCTCATCGCGTGCGCCCTTGGGGGAAATGGTTGTTGTTGCCTGGAAAGACCCCGAGCTAGACTGATGCCGTTTTACGACTTCAGTCGTTGTATGTGTAGCGCAGCTGATGGCGTGTGGGGATCGAGCCATCGTGTCTTGCCTTCCCATGCTCCCTCGAGGCTCTTGAGGAGTCGTCGGAGGCCCATCGCGCTCTCGGATGGCTGTCGCCTGCTCTCGGCGGCTTTTCGCCCGTTCTTCGCCCGCTCTTGGAATGATTTCGCCCGCTCTTGGAGCGACTAGCGGTTCATTGAAGCTGTCATACCCCATTTCCGGCTTCGCCCGCGCGGGCTAGGTACAATCAACTATTCCTCTTTGGTTGAGATGCGTGTGCGAGGGGATGACGGAAAAAAACGAGGTACGAGTGATGACGTTTTGGTGTGGTGAAGCCCTCTAGGGAAGGGTCTAGCGGAAGGGCGTACGGTGGGGAATTCCGGGTAAAACGCTCCCTCCCCAAGACGGCCCCAGAAGCGCCCAAGACGGCCCAAGATATTCCCAAGACGGCCTAAGAGATCCCCAAGAAGAGTCCAAGAGGGCTCCAAGACGGCCCAAGAGCGCTTGAAGAGAGCCCAAGACCGCCCAAGAGCGTTCCAAAATGGCTACATATGGCCTCCAGACAGTCCAAGAGAGCCTCAAGACGGCTACAGAGGCCCTCAAGAGGGCCCCCGAGAGGGCCTCAGGAGGCAAAACACATAGATTTTCCGTAGTTGTTTGAAGGTTTTTCGGGTTCTCGCCTTTTCAGGCCCAGAGAGGCCCAAGACGGCCCAAGAGGCCGCAAAGATCGTCTCAAGACGGCTCCAGAGGCCCCCAAAAGGGGTCCAGGAGAACGGCCCAAAGGCGGCCCCAAGGGAGCCCCAAGAGGTCCCCCGAGAGGGCCCCGAGAGTCCCCCAAGAAAGCCCCAAGACGGCCAAACGCCTCCAAGACCGCCCCAAGCTGGTCCAAAAGGGCCCCCTAAGACGGCCCATAAACACCACATAAAAGAGCGATCGGCAACGTACAAATCTTTGAGCACCAAGGTTCGCCAAATCGGTCATGAGCCACCTCGGGCACGTTTCTGCTGCGCTCTTTCCGTTCCCGTGCCGGCCCAGGTCTAACACGCTTGTGGCCCATTTAGTCAGCGATTGCATCTTCCTATTCGTCTTTCCATGCATCACCATCCTGTTCCGCCCTCCTCACCCCCCTCTTGCGTTCTGGCCAATTTTTCTGGATATAGACGTCTTCTCCCCCTGTAATGTTTTGTGCGCGGAGGTGTACAACTCCAAGAAGGTGTTGGAGGCTGGCCAGGAGTTCAAGTTGGTTACAGACTACAGTGTCAAGGGCGACGAGAATCACGTCGCGATCACCTATAGCAGGTTGCCCAAGGACATCACTCGTCACTTCGCCATACCGTCCAGGAGGAGTGGGAGGGTGAAGTGCCGGGGGAGGATGGCAGGGAAGGAGGAGGGCGAGATAGAGGAGGTGGGGGAGGGGGAGAGGGAGGAGCAGAAGCGTGAGAAGGAGAAAGGATTGGTGCGTCAAGCCCAACGACCGCCGAACTGCGAACGACGTTTAAAGATCGTGTGTCCTCCTGAGGCGATTGGAAGTGCGTGGCACCAAAACGTTATAGTAGGTGCGCGTAGGATCTGCCAGAACCCACCCCTCCTCCCGCCGCATCACCGTTCCCATCATCCCACCTACTCGCTTTCCTCTGAATCCCTCTCACCTCCTCCTCCTGATTATCCTCCTGTTCCTGTTCCTCTCCCGCATCTTCTGTCAGCCTTCGCATAGGACATCAAGGTGGGCCAGCAGATCTTGGTGCAGGACGGCACTGTCATTCTCGACGTCACGTCGACGGGAGACGACTTCGTTATGTGCAAGGTTCCGAAATCCCCTCCTCCTCCACGGCCTCATCCTTTCACCTGCAGGGCGGACAAGCACTGGCATCATGCGGCACCCATGCCGTGTACATGCAGTCGTGTGTGTATGTGTAGTCAGGGCGCCCAGCGTCGACAAGTGCTGCGGCTTCAAGGTGTAGTCGTAGTCGTTGCAGCCTGTGTGTTCGGGTTGGCCTGGATCTGAGAGGTGTTGCATTGTCTTGCCTTCCCTTCCTCCTCATCTTCTCCCTCTCCCTCTTCCGTTATCCCCTCTTGGCCTCACCTCCTTCCCCCATCCTCTTCCCGCTCCTCCCCCCATCCTCTTCGGCTGTGGCTCCTGCGGGGAGGAGGCCTCCCCTCCGCGGAAGAAGATGTCCGCTATGTCTCAGGATGGCCTCGGCCTCGGCCTCGGTGCACCAAGTGCGGCTCCAGGAGCCGCGGCGTGCAGCGGCGGGCCCGGCTCGGCCAGGCGCCGCCGATGCCGGGTTCCGGAGCTGTGCCGATTGCGATGCCAGCCAGCGCTTGCGCGGAGTTCCTGAGGCCGTTGCCGCAGCCATGCCCCATGCCACATGCGTGGATGCGGATTTGGAGCTTGTAACAGTCGGCCATGCGCAAGAGGAACCCTTCGCCGGAATGACCTTCGATGCGGGCCCACAGTCGGGGCGCGCGTAATGGGGGCCGCTCGCGGCCGTTTGGGAAGCTCCCCCAAAAATTGCAGCGCATTTTGTCCTAATTGGTTGAGACGGGTTTGCGCTGAGCATGGTTAATCTACGCCCGACACCGTCCCACCTTGCAGTGGCTCGCGCGCGTAGATCTGGCCTCGCCGCGGCCCCCTACAGCCGCGCATCAAAGGTCACTCTTGCCTAGGGTCACTCCCGCTTGTTCATTTGAGAAAGACGCTGTCCTGGATCTTGCAGGCTGCGCGGGGCTGCGTGAGCAAAACGGCCTGCGGGGGGGGGGGAGCCCTCGTTGCCACAATTGGACGCAGCTCGAATCGTTGGTGCATTATCCCGAGAGGTGTCTGGGGATAGATTTTGAGCTGCCGTTGCCTCAACTCGCCCTCCGAGTCTTGAAGAAGAAGTTGCAGTTCCTCGCGGATTTCCTGGGATGTCATTGGTCCCCCCTGGCGGCGCATCCAGCGCCGTCTCTGGCAGGGGGGTCGAGCGACGATCCAGGATGCGCGCGCGGACCTCCAGTTTCCGTTCACGCCGATGGATGCTGCCCCTGTGATCGCAAGTTCGGGCACGACGAGATCCATGTTTCCAGCGATCGAAGGCGCGTGCTTGGCATTTTCGGTGCGTCAAGCCGCGCGCCCATCTGACGCCCGTCTTGCGGACGTTAGGGGTGGACTTCAAACCTGACGCAGGGAAGCATCTGGCAATAGTTCTGGCTTATTGCTCTACCAAGCTTGCTTAGAGTAGCTGTCGCATTCACGAGGATCCGATCGATCCGATTCGAGATCGATCCTGGCCGGCTCGATCAGATTCGATTCGTATGTTCTGACGATCCGATGCTGTTCGATGTGTGCATGTTGTTGGTGTGCATCTTGGCGCAGCCCATCCGATCCGATCGCACACACTCACTCGATCCTACTTCTCGATTCTATGCTGATGGATCTTATCGAATCGCTTCGCTCATTCCGCCGGCCCATAGTGTAGCGTCGCTGGCACTTGCTTGCGTGCTCGGGGGGGCATTTGGGTGGCCTCCTGGGGCCGCTTGGGGGCCTCTTGGGGGCCTCCTGAGGGCCTGTTGGGGGCCTCTTGGGGCCTCTTAGGGGCCTCTTGGGGCCTCCTGGGGACTTCTGAGGGCCGAGGGCTCGAAATATTGTTTCGTGTTCCCCCCCTGGGGTCCCTCTTGGGGCGTTCTTGGGGCCCTCTTGGGCCGTCTTGGAGGCCTCTTGGGCCGTCTTGGAGCCCTCTTGGGCCGTCTTGGGGCCCTCTTGGGGGCCTCTTGGGCCCTCTTGGGGCGGTCTTGGGGGCCTCTTGGGCCGTCTTGGGGTGTCGTGAAGCCGAAAAGGTGGAAACGCCAAAATCTCTCCAAAACCTAAGGAAAAGCAGTGAATTGTGCCTCTTGGGGCCCTCTCGGGAGTGCTCTTGGAGACCTCTTGGGGCGTCTGGGGGCCATCGTGGGCGTCTTGGAGCGATCTTGTGGCATCTCGGACCCCTCATGTAGCATCTTGGGGGCCTCTTGGAAGCCTCTTGGCCCTTCTTGGGGCTCTCGGGGACGTCTCGGAGCCGCGTTGGTGCGCTGCTGGAGCGCCCTGGTGACTCCTCCCGGGACTCTCTCGGGACCTTGCCGGGGTACTTTCCGCCCGGGGGCCCCCAGGGGCCGCCCCGCGCGCGCGAAGTAGAAAGATTGTAAAGCAGTCACCGGAGATCTTAGCACGCCTCTGGCCCGTTGGGCCGGCGAATTATCTGCCTTCCCCCCACCCCGCTGTTTAGGGGCGCGGGCCTCGCTTGGGAAAGGGGGCCTTCCTTTGAGTCAAGCAGGGAGCGTGCAGCGCAGTCCGAGGCACGCGCTCGGCAACGGCTGAGCGGGATGATTGGCCGGAGTCCCGAGTTATCGAGGGTTGGCTCTTTTTTTCTCCTTGACCTCTGTCTCGGAGGAAAAAGACCGCGACGTCGCCACCACCGGGGGGGCCACCTCAAGCTAGGAGGTCAACGATACCTCCCCGATGTGGAGCTGACGAAACGCGCGCGAAGCGTCGCGATCCATTAGTGGGGAGCAATAGCCAGGAGCGGGGGGGGTAGTCAGCCCCAGGCCCAGATCTAATACCCAAATCTCAACAGTTTTCTGTTCAAGATGGTCGAAGTCAGCCCCAAGAGCGCCCCAGAGGCCCCCAAGGCGGCCCAAGACAGCCCCAAGAGCGCCCAAGCTACCTCGAAGGCGTCGTCGGAGAGGTCCAAGAGGACCCGAAGACGAACCATGAACACTCAAAGAGGGCCCAATATGGCTTCAAGACGGCCCAAGAGGCCCCCAAGACGCCGCAGGAGGCCCCCCAGGGGAACCCCCAAGAGTCTCACATCTTTCCATTCCCTGGGGGAAATGTTTGTTATACATATTAGCTTCTTTGGTCTTCACAGTGTCCAAGACGGCCCAAGAGGCTCCCAAGACCGCCCCAGGACGGCCTAACAGGGGCCCCAGAGAGTCCCGAAAGGTTCCCAATGGCGCCCCAAGAGGGCCATAGGAGGCTCCCAAGAGGGCCCCCAAGAAGGCCCCCAGAGGGCCCCAAGACGGCCCAAGCCCGCCAAGACGGCCCAAGAGGGTCCCGGGACGGCCCAAGAAGGCCCAAAGACTGCTCAACAAAAAAACCCCAAAGGACCCCCAAGAAGGCCCAGAAATGCAATCATCATTGATTGTCGCCACGCTTGTTGCTAGATCTTTGCATATCGTGCCAAAGCCTTCACACCAGCAGGGCTCCAAGACACTAAGCCAGCGAACTCGCGCCCTCACAGAGAGCACACGCACTTTCCGTCCCCGTGCCAGGCAGGTGAGGGAGAGAGCGAGGTACGAGTAATGTACGTTGGGACGAAGTTCTCTAGGGAGGGGTCCAGGGGAGGGGCCAGGCGCGGACGACCCGGCGTTAATGGCCGCCCGGGGGCCGCCTCCTTCGTATTTGTTCCAGTGAAACGGCTCCCGGGCGCCTTCCATGTCCCGCTTCCTTATAGTTCCTCACCATCCTGTGGTGTTGGGTCCTCGTTTTGAAGAGACAGCGCCCCGCGTCCCTCCTCCTCTCCTCCTCCCCCTCCTCCCTCCTCCCCATTCCTCCCAGCGCTTCGCCCACTTAGTACACCGTTTCGTGACCCCACATGGGAGCTCCACCGAAGGCTCCACTGGGACCGCCCGCGTGCGTCATCCACCACTTAGTACAGCGCTTCGTGGCCTTATAGGGAGCTCAACCGAAGGCTCCAGTGGGACCGCCCGCATGCGTCATCCACCACCCAGTACAGCGCTCCGTGGCCCCATGGGGAGCTCCACCGAAGGCCCAAGTGGGACCGCCCGCATGCGCCATCCACCGCCCAGCATAGCGTTGCGTGACCCCATATGGGAGCTCCACCGAAGGCCCCAGTGGGACCTCCCACACGCGTCATCCACCACCCAGTACAACGTTTCGTGACCCCACATGGGAGCTCCACCGAAGGCCCCAGTGGGACCGCCCGCGTGCGTCAACCACCAGCCAGTACAGCGCTTCGTAGCCCCATAGAGGCCTCCACCGAAGGCTCCAATGGGACCGCCCGCATGCGTCATCCACCATCCAGTACAGCGTCTCGTTGCCCCATCAGGGGGCTCCACCGAAGGCCTCAGTGGGACCGCCCGCGTGCGTCATCCACCACCCAGTACAGTGCTTCGTGACCCCGTAGGGAGTTCCACCGAAGGCCCTAGTGGGACCGCCCGCGTGCGTCATCCGCCACCCAGTACTGCGCTTCGTGGCCCCATGAGGAGCTCCAACGAAGGCTCCAATGGGACCGCCCGCATACATCATCCACCACCCAGTACAGCGTTTCCTGGCCCGAAAGCCCCAGTGGGACCGCCCGCGTGCGTCATCCACCACCCAGCAAAGCACTTCGTTGCCCCATCTGGGGGCTTCACCGAAGGCTCCAGTGCAGTGGGACCGCTCGCATGCGTCACCCACCACCCAGTACAGCGCTTCGTGGCCCCATATAGGGCTCCAACGGAGGCCCCAGCGGGACCGCCCGCATGCGTCATCCACCACCCAGTACAGCGCTTCGTGATCCCATAGAGGGTTCCACCGAAGGCCCCAGTGGGACCGCCCGCGTGCGTCACCCTCCACCTATTACAGCGCTGCGTGTCTCCATCAGGGAGCTGCACCTAAGGTGTCCGTGGCGGAACTCGCATGGCGGCCCAGTGGCGGAGTTCGCATGGCGGCGACTTTCGATGTTCTAAGGTTTTTTCGTCGTATTCGACGTATTGAAGCCGATCTCGGGCCGCGCATCCTGGGCGGGAGCCGGTTTGTTCGCTCTCTCTGCTCCGCGCAGCGGACGACCCGCGCGCGTCGCCGGGACCCCTTCGGGGCGACCAGCGCGTCGCGGGGACTCCGTGCGGCGCCGAGCCCGCAGCCTTGGACGTGGGCGCGCACGGGCAAACAGGGAGAAGAAGAACGGGAAGGAAGCGGGCGCGATCCTCGTGGGAGGCGTGCCGACATGGGCGTCCAAATCTATGCACGTAGACTCACGCGCGCGCAGACTCATCCACAATCAGACCCACTCGCTCTCAGTCTCTCGCACAAAGATCTATCGTCTTCGCTCGCGTTGTGTGCCCCGCCACGCACGTCGGCACGTCCCTCGCATGGTTCGTGGCCCCATGGGGAGGGCGGGCGAAGATGATATTCATACTTGCTGTATTCACAACTGCATCTGGTCGGGCCTTTCGCCAAGCTAATTTTTCAAGCGAGGCGGCTCAAGGGCCCCCCAAGAGGGCTCCCAAAGAACCCAAAGACGGCCCCAAGGGAACTTCAGGCCTCAGGATGCCAAAGACGTCAGTTCCAAATTAGGTTGTCCCCAACCTTCCTGTGGTGCTGGGTCTTCGCCATCAAGAGACAGCGCCCCGCGTCCCTCCTCTCCTCTCCTCTCCTCTCCTCTCTTCTCCTCTCCTCCTCCTCCCCCTCCTGTCCGCCTCGTCACCTCTCTCCTCCTATTCGCCTCGTCACCTCCCTGCGTTTCACCCACCAAGTACAGCGTTCCGCGGCCCCGTAGGGAACTCCACCGAAGGCTCCAGTGGCAGGGTCCACATGCGTCAACGCCACCCTGGACAACGCTTCGTGGCCCCATGGTGAGCTCCACCGAAGGCCCCAGTGGCAGGGCCCGCATGCGTCAACGCCACTCCCGACAGCGCTTCGTGGCCCCATAGGGAGGCCCACAGAGGGCTCCGGTGGCAGGGCCCGCATTCGCCAACGCCACCCAGGCTGGCACTTCGTGGCCCCATAAGGAACTCCACCGAAGGCCCCATGATTGGCAGGGTCCGCATGCGTAAACGCCACCCAGGACAGCGCTTCGGGGCCCCATAGGAAGCTCCACCGAAGGCTCCAGTGGCAGGGTCCGCATGCGTCAGCGACACCCAGGACAGCGCTTCGGGGCCCCCAAACCAGCTCCACCGAAGGCTCCAGTGGCAGGACCCGCATGCGTCAGCGACACCCAGGACAGCGTTTCGTGGCCCCATAAGAAGCTCCACCGAAGGCTCCAGTGGCAGGGTCCGCATGCGTCAGCGACACCCAGGACAGCGTTTCGGGGTTCCAAAAAAAAAAAAAAAAAAAAACTCCACCGAAGACTCCGGTGGCAGGGTCTGCACGCGTAAACGCCACCCAGGACAGCGTTTCGTGGCCCCATAAAAAGCTCCAGCGAAGGCTCCACTGACAAGGTCCGCGTGCGTCAACGCCACCCCAAGACAGCGCTTCGTGGTCCCATAGGGAGCTCCACCGAGGGTTCCGGTGGCAGGGCCCGCATGCGCCAACGCCACCCAAGCTGGCACTTCGTGGCCCCATAAGGAACTCCACCGAAGGCCCCCGTGGCAGGGTCCGCATGCGTCAACGCCACCCAGGACAGCGCTTCGTGGCCCCATCAGGAAGGAACTCCACCGAAAGCCCCCGTGGCAGGGTCCGCATGCGTCAACGCCACGCCAAGACAGCGCTTCGTGGTCCCATAGGGAGCTCCACCGAAGGCTCCAGTGGCAGGGTCCGCATGCGCCAACGCCACCCAGGTCAGCGCTTCGTCGCCCCATAGGGTGTTCCACCGAAGGCCCCCGTGGCAGGGTCCGCATGCGTCAACGCCACCCAGGACAGCGCTTCGTGGCCCCATAAGGAACTCCACCGAAGGCTCCAGTGGCAGGGTCCGCATGCGTCAAAGACACCCATCGCTTCGTCGCCCCAGAGGGAGCTCCACCGAAGGCTCCAGCGGCAGGGTCTGCATGCGTCAACGCCACCCAGGACAGCGTCTCGTCGCCCCATAGCCCAGGAGGGCCGCAAGAGAGCCCCAAGAGGGCCCCAAGAGAGCCCCAAAACACGGCCACCAAGAGGGCCACCAGAAGACTCCCAAGAAGCCCCAGAGACGCAAAGTTACACCGTGGCTCCCAACGGCGAGCAGTGACGTAACAAGCTCTGAGCAACAAGGCTACCCAGAGCGCGGTGACGTAAGAGGTTCTGAACAGCATGGCGCCCAAGAGCGAGCGGCAACGTAGAAGTCTCTGAACACCAGGGCTCCCAATAGGGAGCGGTGACGCAACAAGCGCATATCGCCACGGCTCCCAAGAACGAAGGGTGCCATGAGCCATCCTGGGTTAGTTCTTTCGGTGCTCTTTCCGTTTCCGTGCCGGCCCAGGTGACGGAAAGAGCGAGGTACGATTGTTGTACGTTGAGTTGGGGCGAAGCCCTCTAGGGAGGGGTCCAGGGGAGGGGCCAGGCACGGAAGACCCGGCGTTAATGGCAGTTTGGGGGCCGTTTTCTTCGCATGTGTTCGATTGAAGCGGCTCCCGGGTGCATTCCATGGCCCGTTTCCTTGTTTTTTGTGAGAAGCGGCTCAAGGGCCCCCCAAGAGGTCTCCCAAACGGCCCAAAGACGGCCCCCGGATTATCGCCTTTTCGGGCCAAGGCCCCCCAAAGGGGCCGAAAACGGTCGAAGAGGGCCCCCAGACGGCCCAAGAGGGCCCTACACAGGCCCAAGAGGGTCCCACGAGAGCCCTAAGAGGGCCTCCAGAGGTTTCCAAGAGGGCGCCCCAAGACGGCCCAAGAGGGCCCCAACAGGGCCCCAAGAGAGCCCCAAGAGGGCCCCAAGAGGCTCCCAAGAGGGTCCAAGAGTCCCAAAACGGCGCTCGAGAAGGCCACCAGAAGACTCCCAAGAAGCCCCAGAGACGCAAAGTTACACCGTGGCTCCCAACGGCGAACAGTGACGTAACAAGCTCTGAACAACAGGGCTACCCAGAGCGCGGTTCTGAACAGCAAGGCGCCCAAGAGCGAGCGGCAACGTAGAAGTCTCTGAATACCAAGGCTCCCAACAGGGAAGGGTGCCATGAGCCATCTCGGGCCAGCTCTTGCGGCGTTCTTTTCGTTCCCGTGCCGACCCAGGTCGGCCCATCCCGCCACCGTGCCTGGGTGTGGATATGAAGCCTATTGGATGTTCGTTGGGATCTCGTGGGAGCCCTCTCGGGGGCCTTTTGAAGACAGTTTGGAGGCGTTTGGGAGCCTCCAGGGGCATCTTTTGGGCCTCATGGGGCATCTCTTAGGCCTCTTGGGGCCTCTTGGGGCCTCCTGGGCGCCTGGGGCTTCCTGGGGACTTCTTGGGGCGGAAGGCTCGGATGTTCGGTTCGAGTTCCATCTCTTGGGCCCCATTTGGGGCTGTCTTGGGCGCCTCTTGGGCCGTCTTGGGGCCCTCTTGGAGGCCTCGTGGGCCGTTGTAGGATGGTCTCGGGAGCCTTCTGGGCCGTCTTGGAGCATCGGAAAGCAGAAAAAGCGACAATGCCATCTTTCAAAAACCGAGCGCTAATCAGTGTTTGTTGCCCCTTGAGCCCCTCTTGGGAGGCCTCTTGGGGCGCCTTGGAGACCTCTTGTGCCATCTTGAGGCCATCGTGGGCGTCTTGGACCGATCTGTGTCTCGGAGCCCTCTTGGACCGTCTTGGAGACCTCGTGGGGCGCTCTTGGCCAGTCTTGGGCCCCTCCTGGGCCCGAAAAAGTCATGCGAAAAACGCTTCCCGGAGCCAAGGGGGGACACGCGGGAAGGGAAAGCAAAAGGGGATTTCGGAAATTGGAGCCCGGGCCCTTACAAAATTTCTCAGGAGTGAGGATTGAGGCTCAGAGGATGAGGCAAAGGACCTGAGGTCACAAAGGACCTGAGGACACGCCCACTCCGTGCCCCGAAGCACGGTGGCGGAGATGGGATGTCTCGAGCGGGGAGGGGCTCGCCACCAGGATGTCACCCCTGGCTCATCGCGCTGGTGGTGGTGTCGCTTGTCCTTGTTCCCGTCCGTCGTCGTCTTCCTCCGTCTGCGTCTGAGTCGCATTCGTTTCCTCGGGCAGGCGTGCAGGTGTCAGGAGACACGTGCCGTGAGGGCAGGAGGAGGGACGCGCACGCTTTCTCGCTAGATCCCCCACCGTCGCCTCCTGTTCTCATCTTCGCCCTCTTCCTCCACCTCTCCCTCCTCCTCTCCCTCGTCCTCTCTCTGTCCCTCCTCTCCCTCCGCTCCTCCTCTCAGTCCTCTCCCTCCCCCAGGTCAGAAACAAGTGCAAGCTCGGCGAGAAGAAAAACGTTAACGTGCCCGGCGTCAAGATCGACCTGCCGGTCGGAGCCCAGTTGCCCTCGTCTCCATTGTGTCATCTTCCTTCGTCATCGTTCGTTACCGTCATCCTTCTTCCTCATCACCTCGTCGTCGTGCTATTTGTCCTCCCAGTCATCCGCCCTCCCCCCCGCCGCATCTCATTTGGTATCACCCTTCTCCTCCAGACTCCTCCCCTTCCCCTCCTCCCCCTCATCCATCTTCCTCCACCAACCTTCTCTATTCACTTCGTCCTCCAACTTCATACCTCTTCTGGGCGTCGTCGTTCCCCTCTCCTCTGCCCCCCCCACCACTCCCCCTCCGCCCCGTCATCCCCCGTCTCCCCCTCCCCCTTTTATCGCCCTCTTCCCCATGCTCCTCCAACGGCGTGGCCCTCTATTTTCCGTGCCCAACGCATTTCCGAGCCTCCCCCCTTGGTTTATAGAAGTTGTCTCGCCCATTGGTGTCGTCGTTTCCCTGTTCCTCATCCCCTCCTCCCCCTTCCCCTGCTCATCTTTCTCCTGCTCCGTCCACTCTTACTATTCTTGCTCTACCTCTATCCCCTATTCTGCTCACCGCCCCGCATCCCACCGTTCCCGCCTCCTCCTCTGCTCCTGTTTCTCTTCCTCTTCTTCCTGACGATGTTCCTCCTCCTCCTCCTCCTCTTCATCTTCCTCCTCATCTTCGTTTTCCTCCACTCTTTCCTCCTCCCTCCCCTCCTCTCCCTCCCCCTCTTCCCTCCTTAACCCTACCCTCCCCCCGCCTTCTTGTCCTCGTGTTCCCCCCTATACCTGTTCTCACACTTCCCCTCCGCCTCCTCCTCAACATCATAATCTTCCCTCTCCTCGTGCTCTGTTTTAATTTGTCTGGTGTGTTCACCGCACCTTTTGCGCTCCACTTGCTTCCCCCTCTCCACGGCACGAGGTCGTTGACGAGCGCGAGATCAAGGACATCAAGGAGTGGGCCATCCCGTCGAAGGCCGACTACATCGCGCTGAGCTTCGTGCAGTGCGCGCAGGACATCCTGGATTGCAGGAGCCGTGCGTCGCGTTGCCTCTGGAAGGGGGAGGAGGGGGAGAAGGAGGAGGAGGAGGAGCAGGAGGAGCAGGAGGAGCAGGAGGGCCTACGCATCCCTCCCCCTCCCCCTTCCCCTCCTTCCTCCTCCTTCTCCCTTCTCTGTGGATGCGCCCGGACCACCGCCGCCGGGAAGGAAGCACAGCGGCCCCGACATCAAGATCTGAAGGGTTGTGCCCTCTGCCGACGGCCCCCGGGCCGAGCCAGCTTGGCAGCAGATCTGCAAGTGGCACGCGCGTGCCTGGGCTCACTGATCGAACAGGGGGTCCAAGCGAGAGCGCTGTGAGTTTGTTTGACAGGGGGACACTCGACATGCGTCGTGCGAACTCGTTCAATTAGAAATGTGTTCGCGGATACGTCGAGCATCTGTGTTGAACAGGCGTGCTCAAATGGCAGCATCTTAGTGAAACGTTGAGTGGTGTTACGAAAAGCAAGCCTGCCTCGACCATTCGGAAATATCCGTTGGTTTTGCTTGAACAAATCGCTTTCTGACATACATGTAGGCAAAACGTCCGAAGTCAGCTTTGTGTACGCAGATGCTACGCATCCTTGTTTAAACAAATTTTGCGGACAAGGTTGTGACGATCTGCGTGAGGGTTGACGCGGTTTTCCAGAGTGTGGAGGACACCTCGGGCGGGAAAAAACAATCCAAGTCTATTGGGACGCCATTTCCACAGAGTGGTGCGTATGAATGCAAAGTTACGCCGCACACGTACTTCCTACAGATTCTCCAAACGGTTTTGACAATTTAGGTATCTTACTTTCCTGGATAAGTAATTGGAAAGGACGGTTGCTGGTTGGTCGTGAGCGCCTCGTGCGCGTCCTGTGCGCTGGGTCCCGCTGGGTGGGTCCGCTGGGGTTTCGCCTGGTGCCCAGTCGGTGGCCCGTCGTATGTCGTATGCGCCTCCTGGGCGCCCCGTGCGTTGGGTGGGTCTAATTGGGTGTCGCCTGGTGCCCGGTCGGTGGCCAGTCGTGGGCGCATCGTGGGTGCTCCGTGCGTTGGGTGTGTCCGTTGAGGTTTCGCAGGCCCCGTGCGCTGACTGGATCCGCTGGGTTTCCGCATGGTGCCCAGCCGTGACCGGTCGAGGGCACCTCCTTTGCGCCCCGTCCGTTGGCTGGGTGCACGACAGCTCGCATCACATCGATTGCACCATGCAGATTGCACCACCTAGCCTGCATCCCATAGCTTACACCAGATGTTGCAACGCATAGCTAGCACCACATTATAGCTAGCATCGCAAAACATGCACCACAAATGTTGCACCAAGTATGGCACACCGCAGGGTTTGCGCCACATAGCTTGTACCACACAGCTTGCACCACATAGTCTTTTTCACAGACATTCTTCTCTTACGCGAGGAATGGACTCTACCGCGAATAATTATATCAACCACCCTCCCGAGCCCAGACTTACCCGCCCCCTAGTTAGATTGCAGTGTACGTGTGGTTGTCCGTCATCGTTCCTTATCCAATTCAAACCTTACCATCCCAGACCAACAGTTATCGATATCCCCCATCATCCCAGAACGAAAAAGTTGCCAGAAGTCTGCCAGGGCGCGCGCTCGCTGAAATTTTCCGAACGCCGTAGGGTTCTAGCCATCTTGTCAAATCGGATCATCCTGCCCATGTCGAAACATTCAATCACCATCATCGCGCGCCCACCACCTCCGTCGAATAGTACAATGCAGGCCACACGCGCACGTTTCCGCGCGGGCACGTCGGGATCATTCCAAGACGCCTTGGTGTCTGCGGGCGTACACTCTCTCATCATCCTCATCAGCGTAAACGTCACCGTCGTCCGCGACATCATTCGCAGCGTCATAATCAGCATCATCAGTCTCATCATCACCATCATCGGGATCATGACCGCTGCCGTCATCGTCGACATCGTCGCCGGTGCCGACGTCATCATAATATCTCGCCCGCCTGAGTCACCGATCCACACTGATGTTCCCTCGTGCCAGCGCTGCCTTTGAGAGGCGCTGGGAAGTTCCCATCGGCAAGCGCCATCGTTGCCGCATCAGTTGTGCCAAAGCAGCTGGTTTATCTCCACGTAAGCGGGCGCGTGCCCGTGCGGCCGTAGAGACGCGACAGCCAGTTCCAATCAGGAATCGCAGTCGTCGCCAAATAGATTTTGCAAAACAAGTTACGATTTGGAGTTTGAGGTGTTTGCGCGGGCATTGGAGCTGATGCTTGCAATTTCCACAAGCAAAGTACACAGAGATTGCACGTTCGACCGCATATATTGCACCACATCGTGTGCACATCAAGGGCTCAAGAGCCCATGTTGGCTCATGAACATCTATATGATCAAACTTGCAGATACCAATATATAGAAGGACTTGTTGTATTGATGGACCCTTCCATCTCTGCCTATATGGGATGGGTCAGGCGGTGCTTTGCCTGGTCCCGCCCGTGGGCGCCTCGTGGGCGCCTCGTGTGCTGGATGGGTGTGGCAGGGTGTTGATTGGTACCCGGCCGCGGGCTTTTCGTGGGTGATTCGAGTGCCGGATGCACTACGTAGCTCGCGCCACATAGTTTCCGCCACATAGTTTCCACCAAATAGTTTCTACCACTGACATAATGGCACAGAAGTTGCAACTCATATCTCGCACCACCTTGATTTAATGAAGTCACTTGCTCCGCACGGGTCCCACCACATGTTTTTTACCACATAGTTCGCGCCCGATGATTTGCACCTTTGTTTGCACCACATGCGTTGATCCATACATACACTTATACAGATACTGCCATGTGTGCATATATACATATATATATAGAGAGAGAGATAGAGGTTTGCCCGTACACGCACATACACACATACACACATAGTGAATAGATGCACAGTTATACACACTCAAACACACACACACACACACATACACACACACACACACCCAGAGCGTTCCCCACCTCCATGACATCTGGGGGCAACTCCCGGCACCGCGCCCCCGGGCCTCCCAGGGAGGCCCCAAAACGCCCCAGGACGGCCCAAGATGCCCCCAAGGAGCCCCCAGAACGCGAAAGAATGGCCCAAGACGGTCCCAAGCAGCCCAATACCGACCTCCGACGGCTCTCCAGGCTCCCAGGAGGCTTCCAAGAAGCCCCACGAGAGCTCTGAGATGGCGTCCCGGGAGCGACCGAAGAGGCCAAAATCGTTGTTGTTTGTTTTTGCTGTTCTTTTTTTAGCCTTCTCGCGTATTCGAGCTTCCAACGCTCGAAGACGGCCGAAAAAGGCCCCCAAGACCGTCCCAAGACCGGCCAGAGCCCTCAAGACGGCTCCAAGATTGGCCAAGAAGGCCCCAAGACGGCCCAAAAGCGCCCCGAGGCAGCCCAAGAGAGCCTCAGATGGCCCGAAAAGCCGCCCAACAGGGGGAACACCAATCGACAATCCCGGCTATCCGCTCCAAGAGGCCCTCAGGAGGCCCCAAGAGTCCCCCAAAGAGCTTGAAAAGGCGCCCAAGAGCCCCGAAGAGGTCCAAAAGTGGCTCCAAGAGGCCCCGGAGCAGCCCCCCAGCGGCCTCCAAATGGCCTCCCAAGAGCCCCCTGTACGCCTCTTAGGACCCCCGGGGTTCCTGCGCACAACATGTTAGGAGGCCCCACTTGAAAAAATCCAATGGTTCTCTTGTTGTTCATCCCGAACCCCATCAAGACTCCGGGGTCACATTGCACAGATTTTCTGTGAATGCTGTTGAACTCTCTGACGCTGTCTTGGCACTCTCTTGTGTCGTCTTCGTGTCCTCTTGGCTGCCACTGGAGCCACCGTAAAAATCGAGCTCCCATGAGTTCACCTGTCCAGCCTAGCTAGAACGTCAGCGCGCGCGCCAAGTAAGAGACAAAAGAAGGGACCTCCCAAAGCCTTACGAGCACTTTGCCCCAAGGTGGCCCCAAGGTTCTCCCAGAGGTTCTCGAGGCGACCCCCAGATGCTTGTGGAGACTCCCTGGAGGCTCCCAGGAGCCACCAGGAGCCCTCCACGAGGCCCCGAAAGACTCACAAGACGCCGCCAACAGGCCCCCAGAGGCGTCCCAACAGTCCACGGCCTGTATCCAGGAAACTTCTGCCACACGGCCCAGGCATGGCAATTTGAGAAAAATGGAATTCCAAGAATTCCAATGTTTTTCAAACTTGCCGCCTGCTATTTTTGCACAACAGACCATGATTAAGGTCCCCATCACCACCGAAGAAAGATCCCAGGAAGTCTTCGCGGGACCCAAATCATCGAACACCTAAAGGGAATTAATGAGTCTGTGGTTTTCGCATTTCCCCTTCTATACATGTTTGGGGTTTACGCAGGGACTCCAAGAAGGTCGTTAGATGCCCAACGCACTTCCGCATTTTAGATGATGTGCTTTAGCCTGTCGTGCCTAGCTAGAACTTGAGCGCGCGCGAAGCGCGCGCGATGATTCTAGTATCTACATGCATATATGCGTATGTGTGTACACATGTATTTACACACCCATATACACGTGCGTCGATTGCACCGTACATACAGCGCATGGCATATGTCGCATCGCGCAACGCACATCGAGGTTCGGGCTCCACGCTGGTTGACATTGATGTCCTGACAGTCGCCAGAATGATCCACCTGTCTCGGGATGCCCAGAGGCCGCTTAAGGTCCTTGTTGTAGCCTTTCGGGAGCGTGTGTTGGCGGTCGAGCGCCCAGATCACGCCGTTTTGGGCTCTCGGGGGCGTTTGAATGCGATCCAGATGCAATGTTGCGCCGCTTGGGGGCTTTGTCGTTCACCTGGAAGCCCGCGCGCCCCGCCTTGAGGCGCCCTTGGCGCCTCGGGTGGCTCTCTTGAGCCCTCCTGGTCTCCCACACGGGCCTCTTGAAATCGTCATCGGCGGGAGAATGCGCAGAACGCGGCCTCCACGTGTGAATCCAGTCATGTGTGTGTGTTGTGTGTTGTGTGTTGTGTGTTGTGTGGTGTGTGGTGTGTGGTGTGTGGTGTGTGGTGTGTGGTGTGTGGTGTGTGGTGTGTGGTGTGTGGTGTGTGTTGTGTGTTGTGTGTTGTGTGGTGTGTGTGTGTGTGTTGTGTGTTGTGTGTTGTGTGTTGTGTGGTGTGTGTGTGTGTGTGTCCAGCCTCCTGGTAAGTTAATTGGGGTCCTCCTGGATCGTGTTGGGGACGCCTGGGAGCAAACTTCGGGCAGTCGAGAGCTCCTGCGACCCTCTTGGGGCCGTCCTGGAGGCATCGTGGGCCCTCTTGGCCGTCCAGCGGCGCCCCCACGGCGGTCCCAGAGGACCTGGAGCGGTCAAGTGGTTGACAGGCACCCCGCGTGAGGGTTTTCGTGTGATTATCGACCCCTTCCCAAGCAGAAGGAGGCAGGACGTCAGAAGCGAAAAGGTATCGCTACTGCGAATACTTCCATCGTTTTCGCCCTTGGGGGCCTCCTGGGAGGCCCTCGTCGCCACGGCTGAATTCGCTCCGAAATCTTGGTCGGAACGCACCCCTGGAGAGGGACAGGGAGTATCAGAATCGTTATGCTTTGGTTCCCCCAGGACGGGAGAGACGAGGGATGGAAGTCGGCGGCAGGGCGAGACACAGGAGGCAAGGAGCATCCGAAAATTTGCACAGCTGGGCGCCCTCAGAAGGGGGGGGCGGCGGATCATAGCGAAGATCGAGAATGTCGAGGGCATGAAAAACTACGACGAGATCCTGGCCGTGGCCGACGGGATCATGGTTGCCAGAGGAGACCATGTTTCCCCATGTCTCCTCCTGCTCCTCCTCCTCCTCATCCTCAACCTACTCCTCCCTCATCCTTCTCGTCCTTCTCTTCCTCATCCTCCTGATCCCCCTGCTCATCATGCTGCTGCTGCTCCTCCCTCTCTTGTTTCTACTGCTGCGGCTGCTTGCTCCTCTTGCTTCTCCAACGCCTGTCTGACCTGGCCTCCGTGTTCCCGTCGTCGTGGTCGGTGGGCTATTGCGGCCAGACATTACCATCCCCCGTTCCTCATGTTTGTCGCGTTGGCCATACGGCAGGTTGGCATGGATGAGAAAGCAGGTGAGGGGCGACGATGGGAGACGATCGGCTCAGGAAGAAGTGCATAGACCCCCAATCGCCCATTCATCGCCGACGAATGGCTGATAGCCAAGCACGCCCATGTGCGTGCGGGTTCGTTGCCGGGGGCGTATAGCCGATCTGTCGGCGATTCATCGTTTGATGAAGCCATTTCCTCTCCTCCCCTGGTATGGGAATCGAGGTATGATGGCGAATGCGGTTAAGAGAAGGAGAAGGGGCAGGCGGTTGGGACAGAAGGGTCGATGAATGTCAGGGTGACAGTGGAGGGCTTGAGCAAAGTTCGGTGTCGAATACACCATGTGTTAGTTCGCTAGTAAGGTGACCTGGGCATGGAGATCCCAATGGAGAAGATATGGATGGCGCAGAAGTGGATGATCAAGAAGGCGAAGGAGGCGGCCGTATGCACGATTAGGAGGAGGATCTGAGGGAAAGGCTGAACGTGATATGGAATTCAGACGTGGGTTAGATTATGTATCATAGTCTTTACACAGTTGGCACAATGTCTCCAGCACGTCGGGCTTGCAGAGGGCACCCTCTGATTTCAAAGTGTGATGTCTTGCACTAGGGATGTTCTCAGGATTCCAATCAACTCCTGGTGGAGGAGGAGGAGCAGGAGGAGGTTGGACGTTGAGGTGAGGAGTAGGAGGAGAAGGATATGAGTATGCGGGTGAAGAGGATTCTGGTGATTGGGAAGGGGAGGACGAAGACCAGGGAGCGAGGGGGAAGAGGGAGAGGTCGGGAGGTGGATGGAGATGGAGGATGGAAAGAGGGGTGAACAGAAGCATGGCAGGCGGGTTGAGTGAGACATGAGGGGGGGAGGAGGGTGGGAAGAGATTGGGAGGAGAATTGGGAAGGATGGGTAGAAGCAGCAAGAGGACCAACAAGCCCAAGGAAGCGACCAGTTCGATTCCCAGTCCTGGGCCCACTCGTGTCTTCGCTGCTCATGCCACCCCACTCCCATCCCGCCCACACACTCCCCCGCCCTCACATGGGAGAGGGACGCTGATGAGGGAGGGCGGAGGAGAAGCCAGGAGGAGGAGGAGGAGTATCAGGAAGGGGGAGTAGTACAAGTATACCTGGACGGGAGTGGACGAGCAGCAGTTGTTTTGTTCGTCCCATCCAGATTTGCTCCCCACCCCCCTCTCCTCGCCTCGTCGTCCTTGCTCTGCTTCCCGTCATCTTCATCATTCAGTCTGTACTCCTGTTGCTCCTCGTCGTGCTACGGCTGCTGCTGCTGCTGCCCCTCATCCTCCCTCGCCCTTGTAGTCATTTTTCGGGCTCGTCCTCATGATCCTCCTCCTCATCATCTCTCTGCCCTCCCGTCTAGTCCCTCTTCTTCCCTCCGCCCGCTCACCAGCGCCCTTCTCTCCCTCCCTCCCTCCCTCCCTCCCCCCCCTGCTCACCCTCCTCGTCCGCCCCCTCCCCCTCTCCACTCTTCCCTGAATCCTGCCCCCCAGACTCCTCTTCGGTCTGCTCCATCCTAGTGCCTGTCGTGGTCGCCCGGGGACCGTCCTCCTTCCTCTGCCATCCTCTCCCCACTTGCCGTGGTCGTCATCATCGTCCTCCCCGCCTCTACGGGAACGGAGGCTGGCAAGATTGTGGTCACGGCCACCGAGATGCTCGCGTCGATGGAGGAACGCCCCTCGTAGGGCCGCAGCAGGAAGAACAGGGTAGGGAGAGGGGTGGAATGTGAAGGGAGGGGAGGGGAGGAACGCGGAGACGGAAGAGGCTGATATGGAGCATGGGAGAGGAGGAGGAAGAAGAAGAAGACGATACATAACACGAGGAGGGTCAGGAGAGGTAGAGGAGTGCGATAGAGAGAGAAGTTGAGAGAGAGAGAGAGAGAAACAACAAAAACGAGAGACACTAAATGTAGATATACACGATTTGAAGAAACAACGGGCTTTCTGTGCGGCGCGTTGCAGTGCCAAAGAGAAGAGCAGTGGGCCCAGGGGGTCTCCTTGCTGAACGCCGCACTCCGAGTCGATTGAATGCCGACCGAGCCAGAGCAAAGAGGGGGCGCGGTAGCACCGGGAAGCCCAGGGCGCGAGGGCGGGCAGCTCCTCATGCACCGCCTGCAGGAGGGCTTGGCGGTCGAGGGTGTTGAAGGCGTTACTTAGGTCAAGCTTCACAAACACCTTCTGCCTGCTGCCAGCGTGGCGCGGGAACCACTGTTGGGGCACGTGAACAGCAGTCTCGCAGCCGCCAGGGAGGGCATAGCCCACCTGCAAGGGAGCTAGACGTTCTCGGGCGGCGTCGGAGACATGATTGCAGAGGCATTTCGCCACCAGGCGCCGCACAGTTTCCCCAACGGCCACCGGTCGAATGTCGCCGTCTTTCTTGGGCAAGGCCACCAGCGAGGCGCCAGCCAGGTAGGCCGCCACGCCGAAAGGGGGCTGGCCCTTTGCAAGGAGGCTGGCGAGGCCGAGCAGCTGCTGTAGCACCTCGTCGCGATGGGCCGCTGTCTGCAGCGCGTCCTTCAAGTGTTGCGGTCGCAAGCCAGAGGGGCCCGGGCTGAACCTCGAGGGAAGGCCCGCACTTCGCGCTCGAGCGAGGCAGCGTCTATCTGTGGCGCCGCCGCCGCGTTGACAGCAGGGAGGCTGCCGACATAAACTGGTCGCTGGCTGCGCGGGCGCTTCCGGCCCATCCCCTCCCTCACTGCATCGGTAACCTCCACCGGGGGCTCGCTGTCGAGCGCCGAGCAGCTCTTGGAATTATGCGTGTCCGCCGCGAGGTCCAGGCAGCGCTGGGCTCTCTGGGCCGCGCGGGAAGGCTGCGCGGTGCCCCGCCGGTCCGCGGTCTCTGCCCAGAGTGAAGCGCGCTCTTCCTCCAGCCAGCGCTGGCAGAGGTTCTTCGTCAAAGCCTCCGCGGCGCTCCTGCTGCCGCGGCCCCCGCGCGCGCGCGGTCGGACGACGCATTTGGGCAGCATGGCGAATTGGAGCCAAGCCTCCTCGGTGTTCTGGCGCACGGCGAGAGCCGCAGCCTGCGCCGAACAGCGGGCCCAGAGGACCCGCGCCCCCTTGGGCACGCAGTGTTTCGTGCTCGCTCGTCGAGAGAAAACCGCCTGCCAGGCGGGCAGGCCGCGCGGCTGGGGGGCGCGCTGCGCGGCCTCGGCAGCGGCAGCGCGCGCAGCGGGTCGGCACCTCGGACATGCACGCCCGTGGCGGGAGTGGAGGTACCAGTGGTGCCGGGAGTGGAGGTACAGGCTGTGTTCGTCCAAGTAAGCTTGCGGGACCTGCTCGTTGAGGCGCGGGCGCATGGCCGCGTGGTCTGCCCAGCCAGCGATGGAGGCAAGGTCTGCGCGGGGGCAGCCCGGGACAGGGCAACCGACCTGGGCCCGCCGGGGGCGCCGTGTTGGAGGTGCCTGGGCGTCGTCGGCGGGAGCCGGCGGCGGCGGGGCCTCTGCGCCTGGCTCTGCAACAGCCGCTGGTGGGGCGATCGCGGGACGTGCGGCGGGAGACACAGCAGCGGCGCCTGGCGGGGCCATCCCGCGCGGCGGGTCAGGTGCAGCGGCGGCTTCGGCGGCGGCAGGGAGCTCGTTTGCTGGTTGGGCCCCCCCGGGCGGCGCTGCATGTCCCGTAGGAACTGCTGGACGTTCTTGCCGCCGCTGCTGCTCTGCCAGCGGGATGCCAGCGTCAACGTTCATCTCCTGATCCGGGTCGAGCTTCAGCTCCCCCATGCGGATTTCCAGACGTGCGTCTGACACGTCGCCCTCGGTTCGGTTGCGTCGAAGCCGTCGGCCGGTGGAGCCCTGGGCCCGGCCGGTCTCCGGTCAAATTCTAGTACTGCAAGCATTTACCGTAGTTGCCAACAACCATTCTTAAGGACGTAGACTCGACGCTCGACGGCGTAGCTTATGTTACTGGGGACTCATTGTCGTTTCGGTAGTCCGGGCGCGCCTTTCCTACGTCGAAAGAGCAGGCAGCCGCCGTCGCAAAATCAAGGCACCGCAGGCTGCAAAGGGCCCAGATGAGGAGCTGGTTGCTTCAGTCCCCGTGGCCGATGAGCGAGCGGTGGCTGGAGCATTCCCCCCCCCCGGAATGGCGGCCGAGTTTTCGCCGAATCTGTTCGCATATGCCCTTTAGCTCTCAGCAGACGGAGTAGACCAGCAGGGGAAGGGGGGTGGCCTCAAGCGCTGCTGTGGCTCGAGCAGAAGCGCAGGTGCAGGTGGTATGTCCTGGGCGCCCGGGGATCGCGCGTTCGCCAGGATCGCTGGCGGGCAGGCGGGGCGACGCCAGGCCGTGAACGTCGGAGGCTTCGTGGCCGAGGTCCACGAGCAGCAGCAGAGAGTCCCTCTGGCTGTGCCCGCGCTTGCTGCTCGAGCAGTGGGCGGCGCAGACTACGAGGTGAGCGTCGCCGGCGCCGACGGCGAGAGCTCGCAGGTCGGCTTCGTGGTCGTGGCGACGAGGCGCCTGCGGGAGGAGGCGCCGGAGGCATGGGACGACGACCGCATGCACTTCGGGGGGCGGCGCTTCGAGGCCGAGACCCTGCAGGCGGCGCTGGGCGCAGCGGGAGGCGGCCTCCACACCTCGACCGAGGACGTGGAGGCGGGGCTCGGGCGGCCGGCGCCGAGGGCGCCAGCCACGGGGGCTGCCGCCGGAGGCGCCAGTGCGCAGTCGGGCGGCGGCCTGCCTGCCGCGGGCAGCTCTGGCTTGCCCGGGCTGGATCGTCTGATCGCGAGGGCTTCGCGACGGCTCCAGCAGGCCGAGCCCGACGGCGAGGGCAGCGGCTCCTCGGACTCAGGCGGAGAGCCGCTCCAGGCGCGCGCAGCGCCCCAGCGGGCGCAGGCGCCGCGGCGCTCGGCTGCGCGCGCCGACAGGCGGCGGCAGCTCTCCAGCAGCGACGAGGAGGACTTCAGGTCAGTGGCGGGCAGTCGAGCTGGAAAGGCCCAGGAGCCGTCCGGCGCGGCGGCCGCGGCCAGCAACATGGACGCGCACGGCCTCCAGAGCTTGCTGCAGTTGAGGATGCTCGAGGTCCTAGAGAGGCTCGAGTCGGGCAAGAAGGGCACCTCCTCGGGCGAGGAGGGCGGCATCGGCGTGGGCAGCGTCGGGAAGGCCGGCAAGGCGGTGCGTGGCATGCGCCGCCTGAGGAGGAGAGTGCAGCAGCACCCGCTCCGCGTGGTGAAGGCCTACAGGAGCGAGGTCAAGCGAGCGCTGGGCGTGCAGCATGGCATGGCTTGGACCTACCTCGACTACGGGGAGCGCCACATCCCGTGGGGTAAGCTGTACGACCTCAAGAAGACGTTCGCCATGCTGGCGGCGGTTCTCGAGTACATGGACAACGACATGTTCGACGAGGCTCACGGCCAGCTGGCGCAGATCATGAGGGCTCTGGAGCAGGTGGCGATCAACCAGGGCTCGTGGAAGTCGGCGTGGCCGCTGTCGGGCCTGGTCGATCCCTACAGCAGGCGCGGGTTCGCGGGCGGCGAGTTCGAGACGGAGGCCGCGGCGGCCTACATCACGGAGCTCGAGGCGCTCGAGACGAAGATCAGGCAGAGGGGCGCACTCGTGGCCAGCCCCGACGACTCCGACCACGGCCAGGCGGCGGACCAGGCGGCAGGCACCAGCGAGAAGCCCGACAAGACCAAGCGCAAGAAGAAGCCAAAGGGGGAGAAGGCGTGAAAGCGCCCTCGGCTCCGACGGCGGCCTCTTGCCTGGGAAGGTGGGGTTTCTGGCGGAGCAGCCGGCTTCTCGTGGGGGCGCCTCTGGGGCGTTTCATGCATTGGCACCGAAATGCATCAGTTTCGTGTGAATCTATCGCGGGCGAAGGGTCGCTTGCCTCGACAGATCCTGAACGTCTTTTTCCCATGCCATTGCCTTTCGTGGACGTCGCGAGCCGGGCGGCTCGAGAAGGTGCAGATCCCAAAGGTCGGAAGCAGCAGCGGTTGGCCGAGCGGGCGATGCACCTGACGAACGTGCTGGTTTCCCCGTTCTCTTTTTGGGAGTGCGGGTCCCCGAAGGCGAAGGCGAGCTACCCCGACCTCCAGTGGTCTCCTGCACGGAGTGTGGCGGTGGAGAATCTCTATCAGGACTTGTTCGAGTTCTGCCGCGCGGCCGGGCGCGATGCTCAGCCGACGCGAGGGCTTGCGAGGCTGCAGAAGTTAGCCTCTGAATTGATTGCCCTCCCTGGGAGTTCTTACGACAGGCGCCTTCGTCCTGAAGGAGACCCTGGGTGGGACATGCACGTGGGGCAGCTGTCGGCGGACACGCCGGCGCGGGCGTTGGAGGTGAAGCCCGAGCGCGTGAAGTTGAAGACGCCTGGTCCGGGCTGCGATCCTGCCGACCACCTCACGGGCCGGCAGCTCGAGGAGCACGTCGAACACCTGGACCGCTGCCTGGCTCCGGGCGATTGGCCTGCCAGCCCCCCGAGGAGATGCCACCGCATCTCGAAGGGCAACGAGCTGATCTTGGCCCAGGACTTGCTGGACCGCGGGATGGCGGTCCTGGCCCCGGCCTCGGAGGTGCCCCGCGACAAGAACGGATGCGTGCTAGTGTCCGGCTGGTTCGCGGTGGAGCACAGCGAGCAGTGGGACCGTCTGATCCAAGACAGGCGCCCTCAGAACGCGACCGAGGAGCGGTTGGCCTGGCTGCAGTTGCCGTCGGGCGAGCAGCTCAAGTTGCCGAGGCTGAAGGGGCCGA